CAGGCTGCAACGCCTGACTGATCTCAGCGAGTCTAAATTACCATCGCAGCGACATCAGCGAAGAAATTGCGTCTAGTTCAAAAATTCCAGCTTCCAATAACAGAAAAAAGACCTTTGCCGTCACTCTATACTGATGACTATCGCCTATGTCGAATTCCTTGCCTCTGGTACGTGTGCTGGAGAGTAAATACCCCGTTTTATATCAAAAGTCAAACTGCGACAATTTCGATGACGCGGAGGAAGTATCTGTAAGAAAAAGTCTCAGCTGGCGATAGAAACAATCCCCGAGGCGATGCGACCACCGGTTGTTGGGATATGGGACTCGACACCACATATCTCAACTAGATTTTTTGCGCGGTCTGCAGAACGCGTATTTACCACTTTTGGATCATTTTGCGCTACCTGCTGCCATGGAAACCAGAGTCAAATGATGATAGTGGATCTCGGGAGTCCACACAAAACCTTTGAGCTCAATACATGGAAGGAGGCCGAAATAGCAGTTGAGGATTTTGGTCTTGGCCTTGCTCAAGTCTGTCGAGCGCGTGGATGAGGTTTGACAGACTGTAGCACGGGGCGTTGGTCTCGCTCTGGGCTGGGTTTGAAACCAGTTTGTTCCTCGTCTCAAGGCCTTTCGAGGAAGCTCAAGATCGTGGAATTCGTCTAAGGCAAGGTAAAGTTATTGATCCTTGAACAGCTAGTACTTTCATAGGAAAATGCAACTTGCACAGGTGTTGACATGGGGCGCATTCAGGCAGCTAAAGAGGTTAACCCCTTTAGCACGACACTGGATCCGCCGCTGAGCACGACTTTCACTCACCAGTGAATGCAGCTGCACCCAGTGCAGACTTAGAGCCGCTGGTCATCTGGCCCGTCTGGCCCCACTCGTTGTTGCCCCAGGTCTGCACCGCTGACTTGCACACGCTGGCCATGCTACTGCTGCTGCTGCTGCTACTGCTGCTGGTACTGCTGCTGCCGAAGCACTCTCACCGCCACCGTCCGCTACAGAGATGCACACGCCTATCAACAGGAAACAACAACAAACAACAACAACAACCACAACAACCACAACAACAACAACAACAACAACAACAACAACAGCAGCAGCAACAACAACGCAAAGCGTTCAGTAAGCTACCATCTACCATGCACGCGCGTCTTTGCAAATATATATCCGAGGTCAAACGGCAAGTGACTAATGTCCTGAGGACTCATTCCATCATGCAGGGTGACAGACTGTAAGTCGACAAATATTCGGCGCATATTTATTTTCGGCTTTTTTCGGCCATTTTCGGCCCGGTCATATTTTGCAAGGTTCAGCGTGACAGTGTATATAGGCGGCAGGAGTACGGGCCAAAAATTTGAAAGGGCCAAAATGGGTTTTAGCCCTGGGAGTAGGAGGTGGAAATTTGAATGGGCCGAAAATTTGTACACTTCCAGTTTTTTTTTGTTTTTTTCCAAAGCACGAAAAAGGCCAAAAACTAAACCAAGAACATGTGCAATAACATGTTATTTAGAAAGACAGGACAAGTGAATAATTAATCAGCAGTGCCAGTGCCCACCACACCACAGATGTGCGAGCTATGCCCCTGATTGCATTACGTGGATTACTGCAAAGAATCCTCACAGAGTGTGATCAATGCTGCAACAGTTGCCAACAGAGCTAGCCTGTTGGACAGGTAAATAACTGGTACAATTAGTTCTCAGTGTGTGTGTGTGTGTGTCTCTCTTACATGTACATGCCCCATACTATCCCGGGTTCAGGCAGGACTAGAATGAACAACGTGCAGCCCGCTTGCCAACCAACCCGGGCTGGAGTTGCACAACGACAATGATTATGTCACTACAAAACAGGGAAGCCCTAAACTCCCCGGTGACTGGTTGAAACAATGCCTGTCTTTACACTCACTGCCTAAGGCCTTACCCGAATAGTAGCCGAGGCCCTCAGGCTCAGGCCAGTCTGCCTTGTCTCACACCAGGCCCACTACACGTGGTCTGGGTCCCCGGCTTCTGGGATTGGGCTTCGTCTCTCTAGCTCTGTGGGCGAAGAAGAAAAGAAGAAAAAACACTGCTAGAACAGAAATGCAACATTCGCAACAGCTCAACACCACCACCGCAAATTTGCTCGTGTCGCTAGTACACGAGAGTGGTGCTTACCATGTTTTACGCCTCAGAGAACAGTTTACAAACAGCACTCCGCCCAAAGCTAGCCATTACGAAACGCCATAGAAAAGATTTGGAAAGCCGGTTGATTTGGCCCCAGATGACGGGCTAGCACAGGCTCGTAATTTTCATTCAAACACGAGGGGAAGTGACATTATTGTATCGAGCTCGTCTCTTCGTCAAACGGGAAACGTAGTCAGTCACACGCGAACACATCGTTCTGGACTTGAAAAACTCGCCAAGGGGAACAACGTTTGAAGCCTCGGCAGAAGGAAATGAATGTAGACCGACGGCACATCTGACGAGCAGAGAACTGAAGTGAAAAGCGATTTGAAAGAGCCTTCACTTCACTTCAGCCTTTTCAGGTCAACCCTCAACCATGTCAACACTTCAACAGCGACTCATGGCATGTGGCTGTCGTACTCGTAGTCGTAGTCTAGTCTATCGGGTTGTCTTCCTGCACGTGCATATCAAGTGTGTTCACACCTCAATGCGTTATTTATGATCAGGTTGAACCTGCGCGCTTTTTCAGTCTGTTTCTGGCCCATCTGGGCCTGTCGTCCGCGCGTGAGCTGTTACCATCACAACAGTATGGCTGTGCAGGCATGGCAACGAAACGTCTTGCACTGAGCCGGGGCCGGCACTGCGGCGCCGGCGGCAGTCAAGCAGGGCGATTTTTACTTGTACGTAACCATGGTAACGTAACTCGTTGTAGCAGACTCGATAGTACAGTGCACTGTACTGACTCTGTAGACTGTAGAGTGTAGTGCCGCTGTGGTGAGTAGATCTACTACTACTACTACTACTACTAGTACTAGTAGTACTAGTACTACAGTAAGATCGGGCGCCGAAGAACACCTCGCCGAAGAACACCCAGGCTGGAAAACCGGCAAAATTTAAGAACAGTCCAGGCTAGAATTTTCAGATTTAAGAACACTTTTAATATTTTCATACATGTACTTACACAAAGTTGCGAATTTACACGTAGATCTACATTGTACATGTATGGGAGGTGAGTACATGTCATGTACACGTGTAAACAGTTACTGCTACATGTACAGTCATTCCCATTCACGACGCCCGCTAGTTTAGAAGTACTACATTGCACTACATGTACATGTACATGTACATGTAGATAAAAAACGTCATGACGTCACTCAACTCGCCGCGCGCGTGTGAATAAGAACGGTCTGGCTAGAATCAAAAATTTAAAGGGGAAGTTAAGGCAAAAATTAAAATTTCACCAGTTGTAGTCTTCGGGGTGCTAAGTCGAATGGTCTTGGTCCGAGAAAGCTGAGACGCTCCCCTCCTACTGGAATCCCAATCGAACTCGCGCACTTCCACCGAAACTGGGTGACTGCGCCCTACTAGATGGGGATTTGTATGCAAAATGTCACTAAAAGGGCCATTTCGTTCTTATAAAAGCACGGATCACCGCGATTGGCCCATATGTTATAGTCTTTTGGTCGCTGAGTCGACTGGTTTTGGTCCGAAAAGGCTGCGATGCAGCGTTCGCCCCTAATTCCCAATCGAACATGGTAGAACAAGCGGTCACGTGCTCCTGCGTACACCAGTCACCTGGTCACCGTGCCTGCAGGGTACAACTTACAGCCTGTTTTGACCTTTTTTGGGTGCAGTCCTGTCACTCGAGTTGAACCTTGGTGTGAAAGTTGTCGCCTGCTGGCGTGGTGACCAGGTGATTTTGGCACCCAGGAGCACGTGACCGCTTCTTCAACCATGTTCGATTGGGAATAAAGGAGGAACGCTGCATCGCAGCCTTTTCGGACCAAAACCAGTCGACTCAGCGTCCAAAAGACTACAACATATGGGCCAATGGCGGTCATCCGTGCTTTTATAAGAACGCAATGGCGCTTTTAGTGACATTTTGCATACAAATCCCCATCTCGTAGGGCGCAGTCACCCAGTTTCGGTGGAAGTGCGCGAGTTCGATTGGGATTCAAGTAGGAAGGGAGCGTCTCAGCTTTCTCGGACCAAGACCATTCGACTCAGCACCCCGAAGACTACAACTGGCGAAATTTTAATTTTTGCCTTAACTTCCCCTTTAAGAACTTTCCTAGGCTGCGCTCGAGCCCCTGCGTTCTTCGGCGCCCGATCTTACTGTAGTACTAGTAGTAGTACACTGAGTACAGTGAAATAAAGGCCAAGAATGATGGCATGATCATGATGATGATGGGTGAGGCAGCCGCAGCACCCCCAGTCACCATGGTCACAGCAGAGAGGCCATAGCCCTTGACTTGATCAAGTAACACGTTAGTTAGTTGAGGCTGAGCTAGCTGAGCTCATGTCATGACTCATGTCATGAGCCCTGGCCTGTCGATCATGTCCATGGATATCCACTTCACAACTAACGACTTACGTAAAAAAAGTCGTTACTTTGGGCACAAGGCACAACAAGGCACAATCATTCATGAGCACTTGATGGACATAACGTTCGCCATGTCAAGTAATTGGGTGAAAGCAGCATTGTTAGTGTTACTCTCTACAACAAGCCCTGAGTCCTGACCTGGCTGAAGCAGTGAAGGTCCTGACCTGGCTGAAGCAGTGAAGGCCTGATTACATTTGAATGCGTCAGGTTCTTTGTCCATTGACATTGTTGCTGTCACTTTTTGTCGATTGTAATAAAAAACCTTGCAACAGCGCAGCAGCCCTGAAGAAACTCTGGGCGCTATGGCCCGTATGGGTCAGATCCAATCTTGTAAGAGAAGCTCTTCGTATACGCATATACATGTACACTACTATGATCCATCCCATCCTATGCTACAATGCTAGAGCATGGACACTGACAGACTCAGTAGCTGCCAAGCTGGACGCTTTCCATAGTAGAGGAAGCAAATGAGAAGTGCTGTTGGCATCCACTGGCCTAAGTCTAAGATCATCTCATTATTTGAGATGAACTTAGGCCAGTGGATGCCAACAGCACTTCTCATCGTTTTTGACTCAAAAATTAATGATCTGACGAATATCGGAAGGTCGCTAAGCAACCGTGCAGACCTCTGCATATTGCGTGAAATTGCGCGCACGAGATCCGGGTGGCGTTAATAAATTAATCAATAATCGAGAAGAAATACGTGTAGACCTACATGTACCACTGAACACGTCTAACGTCCATGTGTGACTACTTCAAGTTAGGCACCGGCGGATATTGCTCGAAAAGGTGGCAGATTTTGCTCGAAAAGCAGTGAAATTGGCAGAACCATATAAACCTTATGGCGGGCAATTCCTCGAATTCTGCTCCATTTCTTTATCCACATACCAAACATGCATGAAACCTACCAGAAAAAGTACCAAATTCTGCCAGTTTTTCTGCCGGCATTATCCGCCGGTGCCTACGTTCCAGTGTGCTTTTCCCGCACCAGCGTGGTTCATGTTTTTTCATTGTATGCACATGCTCAAGTTTTTGTTCACCTATTTCTTTGCCCTATTCTTCACTTGTTTCTTTGCCCTTTTCTTCGTTGTTTCTCTTTTCTCCCCTTCTCTGCTGGTATCATGTCTAACATTGGGTGACCATGTGGCCCAAGCGAAGGCTAGGCTGACGCCGATGCGAACGCGAAAGGGCTGATGATGATCGATGATGATGAATAAAAACTTTGTGTCGAGCACTGATAGTCAAGCTCTCTGGCCCGGGTTATGCGTAACGGTATGTGCCTGGGATTTATTTATTCATTTATTTATTTATTTATTTCTGCACCTCGTGGCATGTCAAGACAGCCAATTGAATTGAGGAGAGGGTGAGACCAACCACGGAAGAAGAGAAAAAAGAAAATGAAGAGCACGTACACAAAGTGGGAAGGGATTAGCAACTTACAAAGCAATGGGATGCTCAGCGAGCTATGCAGCGGAAGTGGTGACTGTGACTTTGTTTACTGGGAGATACTGAAGTGCTGTCTGACGAGGGTACGGAATTTGGGAATATCTGGAGCTTGTCTAACACTGGGAGGCAGTTGGAGCCACGTGGAGTAGGAGGAAAAGAAAGGGGAATTTACGAATAGGGTAGACCTAGCTAGGGGGAGACGAACGCAGCTTCGGGTGGTGCCACCTGTTGTTGTTGTGTACTTTATTTATAGTGGAAATCAAAACAGGCAAAATGCCTAATAACATTGGACCCACTGTGAATAACATGTTAAAGGATATTGTGGAGAAAAAAAAAAAAAAAAAAAAGCCTGAATTGAACCAATTAAGGGACTGTAAATGAGCAGGGGTCTGGTCAAGGAAAATTGAATGTGCCAGGGTGCACTTGGAAGCATCAAGGTAATGTTGCAGAGTGGTAGTGGATGCAGCAGCATACAAGTCTAGATTTGAGATATAACGATCAGTACGGAATATGATTCGCAGTATACAGCGATGGAGAACTTCTAATTTACCTATGCGGGTTTTGTTAATGGTGGACCAGGCAGGGAAGCCGTACGTGAAGAGGGGAAGAATGTATGATTTATAAAAATTAATCCGGCAATTTTTGGGCAAATGGGACAAGTGACTTGACATTATGCCGACAGATCGGCATACTTTGGACGACACATGATCAGCATGGTGAGACCAGGAGAGGGCGGATTCTATGACAATGCCAAGGTGAAAGTGGAAGATGGGCACTGGACCTGTGGGAGGGGGAAAAAAGGAGGAGCTCGGTTTTGGTCACATTTGGCTTAAGGTACCAAGTGCTCATCCAGTGAACAATGTCGTTGATACAGGTCTGAACTTTGGGGTACAGGGTGGCGTGAGATGGGGAGGAAGCAAGGACAGTGGTATCATCTGCAAACAAAGAAATATTGGGAATTGAATAGGGGAGGTCATTAACGTATGTGAGGAAGAGCAGGGGACCTAAAATGGAGCCCTGGGGCACTCCGGATGTCACAGACTCGGGGTCAGATAAGGTTCCATTTACTGTGACGCACTGATTTCGGTCCAAGAGGTAGCTAGTTATCCAGGCGAGTAGGGAGCCGGAGACACCAGGGGCACGAAGTTTGGCGATCAGGCCCTTGTGCCACACGGTGTCGAAGGCCTTGGAGAGGTCGAAGAAACAGATGCAGGAGACCTGCCGCTGGTCTTTTAGGGAGCAGAGTTCTTGGATTATGCGGGACAATTGCAGGGATGTGTTGTCCTTGCGACGGAAGCCAGATTGTGCGGGGTGAAGAAGAGGGGAGATATGGTCGTACAAGCGGTCGTACACTATTCTCTCTAGCAGTTTGGCGACGCAGGACAGGAGGGAGATTGGTCGGTAATTAGACGGGTTGTTCTTGTCGCCTTTATTTTTGTACACTGGAATGACAGTGGCTGACTTCCATCATGACGGGAACGTGCCGGAGGAGAGGGAAAGGTTAAAAA